TAGGAGTCTGCCCTTCACTCATCCCATCACCTGGACCTGGTACTGCATGAGCTCCAGGACGTATACGTGCTACCAGTAGGTTCTCCTGATCGCCAGATGCTTCATCATCTAGTAGCCCAACAGCCAAGGCCAGCTGTCCATCGTCTTCCTCACCAGGTCTCTCCTCCGGGATCCGCCTTGTCACACCTGACCCATCAGCTGCCACCAGAGGAGCTTCACCTTGTCGTACTCCAGGAGATGGTGTCCCGGTCGTTGTACTCGTTTGTGGAGCTTTCATTTCTTCACCTTGCAAGAAGGCCGGTCGTTCTGGAATCACCACAGGCTTGCCGCTCAAGACCAGGTCTTTTGTGTTGCCACTCCTGTTCTCCCCATACAGATGCGGTGCCTGTCGTCGAACTTCCTCCAGCCCTTGGAGCTTCTCTGGGCTGAAGAGCCTGGTTGGTCCAGGTCCCAACTCATGAGGAGCGCCCACCGGTCCTCGAAGCTCATCTTCAGAGCCCTCGGCCGCCACCGCTTCCTCATCCTCTCCAGGGGCTCGCCGCCGCCGCCGCTGCAACGACATGGCGGCCAACAACCCAGCTGTCTTCGCGACAGTCTGAGGTGGTCTTAGCGCCGAACAAAACTTGGGCTCATAACCTGAAGGTTCCTGCCCGAACTCTTTTTCAGGCTCGTGCAAAAGCGGCTTCACACCGTTTGGTGTTTGGTCTGTTTTGACCTACACTTCGTTTTGTGCGTGTCATCCTTTGTGGACCAGCAGAAACAATCGGTGTTTTACTTGTTTTTAACAAATCCGACATTCTTACAGAAAGGCTGAATTTGCAACCTGTGAGTGCCAAGCATGCAGTGTGTCCTTCAAGACCTTGTGCAAGCACGGGTTAGATCCAAACATGGCACGTCGCTGCTTCGCTCGCACCGCGGTTTCGCTCTTGACGCTCGGGGCGCCAAAGGCCGGAGTCTAACTCTGTAGGATATATGTCTGTAGACTTTTCATCTTACGTTTGGAGAGAATCTATTGGCCGACCCTGGCCCTGCAGATCTTTGTCCTGATAATTCTCCTGTTGTTTTGGAACCGAGATGTGGAACTCAATCAGGCCACGTGTGGACCGGGCGGGGTATTTTTCTTGCAGTGCATTTTGGAGTGTTTGTGTGCACATGTGTCTGCCATGAATGTCAACTGTTTCTACCTGCGTGTCTTGGACCTTGCTGTGTACAGGGGATCTACTTTATAGAGCACTATGCGGGTGCAGCAGCCATGACCACGTGTGTTCGGGAGCAGTCCTGTCCAAGTGCCAAACTAGACATAGCATACGGCCGTGGCATGGATGTCTTGACAAGCGGAGGATCTACGTGCAGGTCTTAGCACACTCACATGTTCTGACATATATGGGATGCAAATAACCAGTTGCATGCATTGTAAGAAGTGCTACAATGTTTGCTATAGAGTTGGTGTCAAGGACGCACCTCGTCTCTATCTTGCGGGGTGAGGAGAATGGCTTCGTGAACTGGCAAGGGATCAAATGTTCAACGTGGGTTTCGATCTCTCGACCTTCAACTTTCAGGTCATTGTTTGCTCCTCTTGGGTTGGAAGAAAGACCATGCGTTGCTGCAGCGAACTGCATGGCCTCCAGAGCTGCTTTGGTTTGCTGTTTGGTTGTGGCCTTACGCGGAATCTTCGTTATAGAGCAGCCGGCTTCAAGCCTTATTTTTAGACATCCACGAATGCAATGGGTGTGCAACCTGGTACGAGTCACAGCCTTATAGGTTTCAACAGAGTGTCATCAGATGTCATCTGTATTTCACCTGTGGTGGGGTTATAGTTCATGATGTTCATAGCGAGTACCTTGAGGTTTGGAGATGCAACTTCTGGATGGCATTCTTTAATCCCAAAAACCCAAAGAGTACTTCACTTTGGAGCAACTGCGGACACATCAAACAAACGGTTTTGGAAAGGCAAACTTACAAAGCAGGTGAAAAAGAAACTGAAGGAAAAACATGCAAACTTTCAAACCGTGGTCAAGTATGTTGACCGCAATGGCAAGAAGCGCTACCATGGCTCTCGCCAACTGACATCTACTGAGCTTCTCGGTGCACTGATGTATACACGTGCCCGCGTAGGCAAGATTGTATATAACTTTGGAACATGTTGCAAGATGTTGCAAGTAGATCAACTATGGAATTGCAATTCTAAGGAACTATACCAGAGAGTTTGGAATGCACATGGCAAAGGAAGTCTTGCCCAACATGATCAAAGACCTCCAGCCTGTGTTGAAAATGAGCCGCTCTGAGGCAGCTGAGCAGCTTGAGAAGCTGTGGGCTGCCCAAGAGGGTTTTGGTGACACTTGGGAGGATGCTAAGCTCCGGGATGTTGCACGTTATTTGATCGGAGCTAAAGGCCTCCAAATTCCAGAAAGATTTGCTTGGCTTGTGCCTACTCACCTGTGACATTAACTGTGAAGGCGGATAAAAGCGACACAAAGTTTGGCTTTTGTTCATTGTCCATTGAATATTGTGATATTAATATCGCGATCCTGGAAACGCCAACAACCAGAAAGATCGACGTTTCCCCAAACAGCCATGAATTGTAAAGGAGTTCAATTGCATTCAATTGCAACGATTGGAACAACCATTTTGTTTCCGGTTGTTTGGGTTTCCTATCCGATTTGCATACAAACCAGCTTGTGCGACTATCTGGTCTCTTGGCACCTGAGAGATCAAATTGCCTGACGGTCGCGAACTCTTGTGAGCACTTTACTTCGAGATCTTAAGGCCTGCTTGCAGAAGAGCTTGAAGGTGAGCATTCCATTTGGTGAACCTGGCTTTTCTAAGGTGTTTGGAACAGGTTCGAAGTTGAGTTCGAAAGAGGGTTCGTGAGTTCCAAAGGGAGTTCGAACTTGAGGTCGAAAGAGAGTTCGAAGCATGTTCGAAACGGGGTTCGAACCAGTTTCAAGGAATTCGTAAGATCCGAAACGGTTTCGAACAGTTCTGAACGCTATATAGCAGATTGTGCGAAAATTGGGATTTTCGAAACATCCACTTCCATCTGAGCAACATCCACTTCCATCTGAGCAACATCCACTTCCATCCAATCAAACGACCACCTTTTTTTTCTTGCGTTTTTAAATGTCTTGTTCGATTTTGAAAGCTCATGTTCTGTTCGAAGTGTGTTCGAAGAGTTTTCGAACTTTTTGTGAGTTCTTTGAGGGCTCGAAGACGATTCTAGATGACCCTTTAAGGGTCTGCAGATCATGATTCTATACATACTGCCCATCTGGAACCACAAACAAGCAGAAACACATGGATGTTTTCCTCAGTCCCAACCAATAGAAAGGATCTCATTTGCCATGTTTGAACAACCATTTGTTTCTGGTTGTTTGAGGTGCAAGGCAAACATCATGTGAATACCTATTGCATGCTATTCCAAGGGATTCATGCCGTTGCATTATGTTGGCTTTTGTTTATGATTTGAGTCGGGAGATATATTATACAATCCAGGCGTTGTATTCATGTATTGTGTTGGAAATGCTATTGGCTAACAATGGCGAATAGTAGCTATCAAGACGTTTCGCTCAATCCACCTTTGCCCTTCAAATTTTAAAGTATATATAAGTCTATATCCATGAATCAACCCAAGCTGGATCGATTCTTTCAATATGATTGCATTTTTGATATTTGTTGATGAATATATATATATATAATATTATCCACCCCTCCCACCATGTTTGTGATGTTTGTGATGGATCAGCTCACCATGTTATTGATCCTGCGAGGCCAGGGGTGAGCAACCTGCGCTTCGAAACGCGTGGTCAGCTTCTACTTTGATCGCAGGAATCAATGCTATGGACCAGGATTGTTTGAGGGCAATCAAGGAAGAATTGCCCGACGACCCAGAGGAGCTTTCAAAACTGGTCGAGGTGGTGAAAGCAATCCACATAATCCTCACGCATGCATGCAAATGTTATACAGTGGTGTTCGCAGTAATTTGAAAACATGACAGGCATATAAGGTATACAAACATACATGCAGAACGTCGTTCCCTGTAGGTGCTTTCTGCCATGCAAGAAGCAGCCCAAGAGAAGTCGCCCGAGGTAGAGCAGAATCTTAGGAAAAGTGTATCAACTTGCACAACCATTCCGGCAACAAGAGCTGATTTCGAAAGACTTGGGCGGAAGGTGCTACAGTCAGTATAAATTACAATAAGTATATCATGCATATGATGTGCACGCACATTTCCCTTGCAAGCATACCGAATCCTTTTTGTGAAGATCACGAAGCATGCAGCAGTTTGATTAATTCTTAAACAATGTGTTTCGGCTAGGTGCCTTCTCCATCCGCTTCGCCTGCATTGCTCCAAGCTGGGGTTTCCAAGCAACTTCCTGCAGAGGTCCCTACTGCCGTGAAGGCTTGCCCGCCACGTCCAGTAGATGTTGCCCGTCCCCTTGCTGCTACAAGTGCCGCCGCCTTACCTGCGCCTCCCAAAGCTCCTGGAACGCCCCCACCAGCTAGGATCACCCCAGCCAAAAGGGTACAAGAGCAGGAGAAGATGCAAAAATAGCACGTCTCACTGCCCCATCCCCAGTGGCAAAATCTAAAGACAGCTATCCTAAAGACCCAGTGCGCCGAGCTTTGACAGATGAATTTGACAGGGTGAGTGATGGCAAGGCTTGCCACCATCCTAAGTCCAGTTTGGTTTATGACCATGAAGCCGGACAACTGCCATCTATGGCAGCCTGGCCACCCTCTGTTGCACCCTCTGTTGGTGCACTGTCTGTTGCACCGTCTGTGTCAGCAGAACCTCTTGAAGCAAGTCTGCATTTTGTTTTTTTGAGGGCAAGCGCATGAGTGTCAAGCAACACAAACAACATTTGTCAGCTTGAGATCCTAGGACCAGGAGCGACGCATGCAAGTGCTTATGGACCTTGTTGCAAAACAACAACGCCAAATTGCAGAGATGGTGCAGGGTAGGACGGTGTCTGTGGATTTGCGGGAAGCTGTGGAGAAGACAAACCAAGAAGCATCCCGTCAACTTCAGATTGAGAACCAATTGAAACCGGACCAGGTCGGGGACACTATTTGCAGATGTTGTTTGCGCTTGATGGTATGCAGCATTTATATATATATATTATCTGTTTTGGGGAGGTTTTGCAGTGCATGCAACATGCTAACACCTGACATGAGGTACTTACTAACAACAGTTGGTACGTATCCCTGCATTCTGCCAGGCTCCGGCTGATATTCCTAAAGCTCGCGATGAGGAGCCTGTGGAACCGGAGCTGCCAGGACCAGCCGGTCATCAGGCAAGTCAGCGCGGTGATGACGCCGTGTTGGAGGCTGATGAGGAACAGCCCTTGATTTTGCATTTGGCAACCTTGACGAAATATGAAAAGGACAAGGTGAAGCGGATTGTGACTCCCAAGCCTGCCACTGGGAGACTTGAGGTACCTCGTGACATTCATGAGCTCTGGCAAACAAAGAAAGGTAGGGAGAAGCTGTTCAACATGTGGTGCAAGTCTGGAGGTGTGAAGGCCAGCCATTGCTAGCATCATGCGTTCCATGTTATGTTCAGCGTGCTGATTTTTGCTTTAATTGTCCAACACCACATGCATATGCGCGTTCCTTGAGGTGATCTTCATGCAACGCGTTGAGATCTTGTCAACCACCACCAAGTCGAAAAAGATTGAGATCAAGGGAGGGTTCTACAATGAAGAGGATATGAAAAATGAACTTGGATATTCCCCGATTTTTGGCAGCATGCATTTAGCGGCACACACAGTATGCTCAGCGTCTGTGATTTGGAGAGTAACATGACCTAAACAAACCCTTCCTTCGATCCATCTGTTTGTTCTCGATATGGTTTCAATTCTATTGGCTCCTGTAGCGGCATCTTGGCTACTCAGGGAGCGAATCGACAAGGTCAAGAAGTGGGCATTGTCTAAAAAACTGGTGAGGCTGGTGGTCAGTTCTGTATATGTTGTATACAAATCAGATTATATGCATATCCATCATGGCCAAAGTGCATGCCACTCTGCTTGGAGGTTGTGCGAATACCATGAGCAGGAGCTTGAGTACTGGGTCAACACCAGAACGTCCGGAACTCTGTCACATGAAGATCTTCAAAAAATGAGTGCCATGCAATCTCATGAGGGGGAGGCGTCTGGCGCTCCAGGAGACCTGGCTGACATGAACTTTGACCTGGGCGGTTTTTTCGGAGATGACCGGCCAAGCTCCTGCTAACCTTGACGTGGAAGGTGATGAAAACTTGCAGGCTACTAAGCAGAACTGTCTTACCGTTTATGAATTGATTCAACTCTTTTTTTCAGACCAAACCTTTCTGCCACTAGTCTTTTGTTTGTCCCATCCAGTGCATTGATTTAGGCCAAAACCAAAGTGGGGATGTATTTGAAGAACCTGCTGAAAAGCAAGAGTGCCTTGTGTGCCATTGCTGACAAAATAAAAGACTTGTGCAGTGAAGATCCTGCCTGCAAACAGCTCCATGGCAGCGTTAGCTGCTAGTTAAAGTTCTAATTATATTGTATCATTTTACCACCCGTCTTCGCCCACAGATGTTTGCAGCTTTGCAGGACTTATGACAAGCTCTTGATCATTGGAGAGATGGATTCCGGCTATGAGAGGCTTGCAGAGCTTCAAGCTGAGGGACAAGTCACTGGCACTGTCACTGGCTTTACTCAAGAGAGCCTGGCTTGACATTAGAGTGCGCTGGCGATGCTACAGTGCATACACGCAGTTGGAAAATAAAAGAAGTGTTGAATTTATAAGGATCAACACAAAGTTGGAGACACTCTTAAAGGATATGACCAAATCGATTCTGGGCTGCAACATTGCAAAGCTGCAACATGCAAGCCTGATCGACTCTTGTTGAATTGCACTTTCATCGAGGATGTCCAAGTCTACGAATTCGCAGGCCGCTGCTCAGCCAGAAGCCAAGACCAAATGAAAACAAACCAATATATAGTTTGCATGTTTGTATTGAGGTGACTGTTTGGCAGTTGTGGTCCCAGGCATTTTGTGTCAAAGGCCAAGCGATCCAAACGTTGCAAAAACGAGTGAGTACTTGCTTTTTGGCAAACTTTTTGGCACGCGTGAAGTTCGTGTGCTGAATAGGATTGAATAGGGGTTTGTAGCAGGCCGGGCGTGAGCATGCTTTGTACATGCAAGTTCGAACCTGTGCCCGCTATCTTGATGGTCTAGTGGCCCCTCGTGCAATGGGATGAAGGGCACTACAAAGGGGTGGTGGAACCAAACGCGGTCATGGCGCACCTTTTATGCTAAAAGGGCCCTACGACCAACGGGAATGAGGGTCAACAGCAGCTAATGCTCATGCCATTGAACTTTCACACTGGGAATGTTTTCTTTCGACCCACATTCACGAAGGTGGATCACCGGCTTTTGAAGCCAGCTCAACAGGGTGTCGCGAAGGTCGGCTGACACCTTAGTCAACGAATCGGCCATCTGCAAGGCCGTCGGAATCCAGTGGATGGTGTTGCGGCTTACCACCTCCTGGATGGAGCGGATGTTGACCAGACTGCGTTTGTCTTCAACTGTCGGGTTCGGGCTTGAAACGCTGTCATACAGCGACTTGCAGTCAGTTGCCAACAAAGCTCGAAGGCGAGGGCCCACTCGGTGGGCAGCAACTCCAAAGACCAACTCTCCCAGCGCATACTGGACGTATGCCAAGCGATCTGCAGCACTGTCGGCTGATACGGCCTCTGCGGCCAACGTCGATCTGCATACTCGCTTGCTGCGAGAGCTCTTCCAGTACATGAGCCCACCATAGCATGGCTTCTCTGTCACGGTCGCTGGCGCCAGCGTGATAATCTGTCCACGCTGACTGGCGCTCCCCTGAGCGTTCGCCCAACTGGCGTCGGAGTACGCCATCACGACCGTGCTCTCATCAATCGGCCCTGGATACAGCCGGATGCCAAGCTTGGATGTATCCTTAACATGTTGCAGCGTCTTGTACAAACAGTCAAGGTCGGCATAGGTCGTCTCCTGTCCTCGATTGGACAATGAAACAGCTGATGAAATATCCAAACGTGTCTGGCCTGACAGCCACTGTAGGCAACCGCTGATCGACCTGAATTCCGGCCAAACATGGCTGGCAAGAACTTCAGCCTTGTTCTGCTTCTTTCCAACCTGTCCCATCTCAAGGTTGGTGATGAAGGTCTCTTGGACAATCCTGAGGGTCTGGACGTCGCCAGTCTGTTCCAGGTGAATTTCTTTGCCCTTGAAAACCAACGGTGAACCTTGTTCCAGAAACTGTTGCGAGCCCCACTTGAAGGAGTCAACAAACTGTTGGAATGGGAAGGAGGTGTTGAAGGTGATGAGGAAATCATCAACGTAGCAAATGAGAACTGCAGCTGGGCATGGTGCATTGTCTGGGTCAGGATACCAAAACATCATACGATCAAAACTGTGAACAATGAATCCCAGATTGACCAACCTCTTGGTGACTTCCTGTGCCCAAGTGGCGTTGCTGAGGCCGTACACATTTCCCAGTATCTCATACAGCTCGCTTTTGAAAACACCAGCTCTGATCAGCAAGGGATCTCGTGGTGCTTTGAGGTAAAGCTTGCCTGCCCTCTCGCTCAAGTCCTGCTGTCCTTGCAAGAACGCCGTGGATGCGTCCCCGGCCCACAACTTCCAAACCTTGTCACTCCGGAAGGCCTTGGAGTGCAATCCTGAGAGGAAGATGAGGAAGGTCATCATCTCGCTGACACGGGTTGGCGTTGGTGCTTGCCGTGTTAGGCTTTTCAAGTCAGGATCTTGATTGCCCCTTGCTACAATTCTGGTTTTGGCTTTCAGTGGTGGAACATTTTTGTTTTGGTCCCTGTAGCAAGCCCTTGAAGAAATGACTCTCTTCTTCTGTTCGGGGTCCGAGAGGATGCGTTTCGTCTCTTCTGGAGGAACTGGTTTCAATGACTTCCACTCCAGAAAGCTGGTTTCCTCTTTCTGTGCCGATTCAATGAACTTCTGAATGTACTCTTCTGATTGCGACAAAATGTCGTGAAAACTCAACTCTTTTTCAATCTGCTTCTTCTCCTGCCTTGTGAGCCTTTTGCCAGTCTTGTAGTCATCAACATCGGTGTCCGAATCTGACAGGCGGCTCAGCAGGTCATCAACACTGGAGGCAAGTTGCTCGACGTAGACCTGGTAGTAGCGCTTGGTGGGAGGCAGGAAATTTTCATCTGAACCGTCCCATCCTGGCTCAATCTCACGAATGGTCT